GAGAAGAAGAAGAAGAAGAAGAAGAAGAAGAATAAAAAGAAGGAGGAGGAGGAGGAGGAGGAGGAGGAGGAGGAGGAGGTGGAAAGGAGGGAGCGGGTGGGCATGAGAAAAAACATTGTAACAGCCGTGGAAGACATGAATGAGAGTACAACTATACCGTAGGGAATGTTTAGCAAAACGCCTCGCCCACAGTGTGGCCTTCCCCTTGGGTTATATCCCTTGTCTGTATAATGCTTAACACTGACGGCTCGCTTTTTTTAAAAAACGACATTGTCCAGATGCGACAGACGATCTTTTTCTCTGGATCAAAAAACCCAGATGCGCCGGACAGAGCAGGAGATATAAATAACGATGACGACGACAAAGAGAGACAAAGGTCAGCTTCACTTAGACTTAGTCGGGGACTGTTAGTTCTGCTCTGTTACAACAGGCGGTGGTGTTCGGACTCAATTATTGTGTCAAATGTTCTACATTCTGTGCCTTGTAATGAGGCTGCATCTGGCTAATCGGGCGCGAGACAGTTATAGTCATTTGCAGGGAGGGGAAAGAATAAATGCAGCACGTTGGTCATTGTGTCGTTCTTCTTTCTGTTACTACTTTATCGTGTTCATTATCCAAGTATAATATTGCGTCGAGGTGTTTTTTCTCCAAATTTCAAGTCATCTCACTATGGAAGGTCAAGGAGATTATGAGAGGAGAGAGACAGACAGACAGACAGACAGACAGACAGACAGACAGACAGACAGACAGACAGAGAAACAATTGAGAAAGTTAATGAAGTACTCAAACAACCCTGAAACTTGAAAAAACCCCCACCACAAACCAAAAAGGAACAAGAACAACTCGGAAAGAATAATGACATTTGCCACACAGCCAACCAAAATGTACTTTAGCTACCGAACGTGATTATCTCAGCATTTTCCAAGGTTCAGCAATTGGAGCCAGTAAATGTTGTTCCGGTACCTGTGAGAGTCAGAAATTCTATTGTCTGTCTCAAAAAGTCTATTTACTAGCGTCTGCTATAAAAACTGTAATGGCCAACCGTATCCTCAAGCACGCAACATGCGTCCACTCGATCCCAACATGGGAATCACCAAAAGCTATTTTGTGAACTATCTGCGTCTGTTTGCTTTGGGAAAAAGGTGGGGGAGGGAGAGGGAGAGAGGGAGAGGAGAGATACAACGCTGATGAGTTAGAGAGAGAGGGAGAGAGAGGGGGGGGGAGAGGAGGGATACAACGCTCTCGAATGTAGAACAGGGGTCTTAGGAAGACAGGG